TGAAAACACATGCTTACATGACAAAGTCAGCATTACTCAATTTTTATTTTCGGGTAATATCAACTTGCCTACCATAGTCAATACTTTGCACAAATGACCCACTACCCTTTCATAGAGAACCTTCCCTAGGTTCGATGCAAGTGGTATTTCCAAATCACCCATTGAGATAACAACATGGAGATAAATGAGGTCCACAAGAAGGCCACATGAGAAACCATGGTAACCCATAAAATAACACGTTTTCCCAAGGGAAAAACTATAGCCAGAGTAATTTATTTATAGATACATAGTATCACCTTAATTCCCAGTAATAAAAATAGATAGTGCTTACATATGTGTATGTGTTTGAGAGAGGAAGGGGAGAGAGAGAGATCCTTACTTCAGTTTCAGGCACTTGAATACCAGCAGTAGCGTGTACATGATTTGTAAACACTTTGAGCTTAGGTTTGAGAGCCTTCCCTGCAGGTCCTCCATCAACCCCAAATTCATTGAACCTAGAAAAAGTGATGCTTCACGTTAGCAGACAGATACAACTGGAAAAGCATCATATTTATCAGAAAAAGTAGAAGAAAAAATCAAAAAGCAGCACTTTGTGAGGCAGAGTGACATTATAAAGGATAAAACTTTAAGTCCAATAATTTGTTCTCCTTTGTAATGAATTTTCTTCTATAAAAAAAAAATCATACAGATGTTAAAGATATAAACATATGCAAAGCAAGTTTCATCATCATTAATGTACTCTGTAGACGATGAGGTTCATAGAAGGGCTTCTATCAATCAAGATAAAAGGACAAAATCTTCAAACAAAACAAAGATATAAGTGAGCATAAGCCATAAAGTTTTTAGTCAGGTAAGAACAGTCTGGACACAGCATACTGTAACATGAGATTTAGTTTTATTATTTACAGAGTTTTATTATAGCGTAGTAATCACTCTTTGCCGGCATTTTGGAATATATCGGATTTGACATGTGACTAACAAGGTATCATTCGGTGAATTCAAGATATAGAGGACAACGTATGCATGTTATCTCTGGGCTCTGAATGTTATTGAGTCCAGATCTGTATCCTAATTATCCCTTTTACATGGAAATTTTTGGCATCTATGCACACGGAACCAACAACAAATAAACAGCCAAGCAATGAAAAGCCAATTTAATGAATTTATCGATATCAGATCATGCATATAGATGCAGTTTCTAGGATACCCAACAAAATAATAGTTTCCACAGTAAATGCACATAGTGAGAGAGATATATGTTTGACAGAGCAGGGGTAAGGTTACAGGTAAAAAACTCAACATCTACAGGCAGCGTAGGATTGTCCTGAAAGGGTGAAAATTTTAGATGATGCATGACTATACTGTGAAACTCCAGCCTGTTCCCCATCTAAACAAGAAAACCAATATTACAACTTCCCCAAGTTTTAAGACAATCATCACAATACATTCATCGGCTTCTAACAAACAATCCCCATAATGCATTCAACCACTTGTACTGTATATTATAACACATAGGAGGGTAAGTTTTATCAGTCTCAAACAAAATTCCTATTAAGCACTAGGTCATTTCAACATAAAGATGATGCAGAAAGTAAACAACAGACTCCATTATTATTCATCAATTTAACATCTTTTCCTTTCGACGGGGAAAAAAGTCTGAACTTACTAGACACAGGGCCAACTTAAGCTGAACAACCACCGGTGCAGTAAACGAAATTGAACTCATAAACATGATCACATTTGAATCCAAACCCTTCAACATATCATTATAAATATCCATCTAATCCTAAATTCAAAGTGAAGATAAAGTCCATTGGTTTAACTACTTGGAAAAAACGCGAATCCATACCCAAAATTATTCAACTTAGAATTAATTAGCCGATCAAGAGGGTGACGAAATGCAGATCTACATAATATTCGACTCCTAAAAGAAAATAATAATAATAATAAAAGTAGGAATCTGAAATGAACCAGATCCAAACAGAAGAGCAAACAAATCTACATTATAGACGAAGCCAAACCATAAAATCTTACCAAGCAAAGAACAGAGATAGGGCTTCAAATAACCAGAACAAAAAAATAAAAGCAGTAACAGCCTGAAAGAAGTGGAACAAAAGGAGAGTCCATACATTCGAAAGACAAACCAAGGGAAAAAAAAATTCAGAACGCTGCATACCAAGTCTAAAAATAGGAAAAGGAAATGTTTGTAGAAAGAAATAAATAGTTAGAAACTCACTCTTGGTAAGCAGAGAGAATGAAAACGGAAGCAAAGAGGACTCTCCCGAGAAAGGAAGCGAACGCCATCGTTTTCCCTCTCAAGATTCTTCTTCTCTTCAGACACAGAGAGAGAGAGAGAGAGAGAGAGAGAGAGAGAGAGAGAGAGAGAGAGAGAAGAAGAAGAATTGAAGTGTAAAGAGAGAAAAGACGAAGGAGGGGTTTTACATTCAAAGTCTTAGAATTTTTTTTCTACCCTACCTACCTCTCCGTTGATTTTCCTTTTATTTAAAAAATAAAAAAATAAATAATTATTATGAAAAATAATTAAAGTATATAATTATTTATAAAATTTCATAATTTATTATTTTATATATTGTTGGTTTTAATTATATATGAATATAATGTTTAATTAAATCTATTAGATATAAAAATAATAAACTAAAACTACTCTTTAATAATCCAATATATATTATTTTATTGAATAAAAATTTGAACTACTTACAAATATAAAAATAAATAATCTCAAACATTTTATTAAATATAAAAATTAAACCTAAATATTATAAACATAAAATACACAATCCCAAATGCCCTCTAAAACATTCATTTATATAAATAATTTTATAAAATCTATTCTAATGTATGTTATAAATATATAATTTATACGTAATTAATTATTCGTAACATTTTTTAGATAAGTATATATTATGTATAAAAAATTTAAAATAAATAGCATTTGATATCTCGGCTGATTCAGTATCTATAATTTAGAATCAAAAGTTAATTCAGTTGATAAACTAAATTTACGTATTTCTAAATAAACAAATAATATTATAAAACTAAGTTAATTTTCTTAAAATGAGAATGACTTTTAATGTTAACTAAATGATATTCGCCGTTACAAGTAAGAAAATGTCTGAATATATATTAGATTTTTGAATATCTGATAAAATACGACATAATTAAGATAATAAGTACAATTATTGTTTACAATTATGTGTACAAGAGAAAAGTGATTTAAGCGAGATAGCGAGCATTGTTGATGATTATAAGATATTATACTTACTTATTGGCGAGGTAACATTGAATTCGGACTAATATAAATAATAAAACAATTTACTCAATAAGGTGCAAAAGAGATAAATTTTTATAAGTTGGTTTAGGATTATTTTTGAACTATAGAAAAAAATAATATGCATACCCATCGATGTTCTTTAGCCCATTTGTCTTGTCGAAATTGTGGGTGGATTTCGTAAAATGGTCACTTCAAAAAATTAATATAAATTTTACGATTGTAATTAAGACTTATTACCAAAAAAAAAAAATTAATTTATTCAATCATTTGTGATTTTGATAACAACTATATTAACACACTATAGCTTTAAGAAAAATCCCCATCAAATTTCATAGTTTATATCAATGCATAGTTTAAATTTTTCGATGTAGAGGAATATTCTAACATATGGAGATACGTAATAGAGGTAGAAAGGTAAACTTAAAAAGGAGGGGAAATAGGTTTCTCGAGAAATCATCAATTTTGTTACGAGAAGATGAGTAACTCTTTAGTAATTTCTTAGGTGAAGTTGAAAAAATTGTAAAAAGAGATGAATTTAATGATAAATTTAAAAAAGTTCATATTTACTTGTCTTTTTTGATATTATTTGCTTATATAAACGATATTATTTCTTATCTTGTAACGACCCCGGAAAATATTAAAATGAACTGAGTATTTAAATATATCGAATGCGGAAGCGAGATCAAAACTTCAGTTACAATCCCTTACACGAAAAACCAAAAACGTACTTAAAATATAAAAGGTTAAACTAACTAAGAAAGAAACTCGAAAATAAACTATGCGTATGACTACAGAGTCTCTAGGCATCCCCTTCGTCGTCCTCCTGCGGAACGGGCTCGGGAACCATGTCTTCCTGATCTGAAATGGTTAATTAAGGAGTGAGCTACACTAGCCCAGTAAGAACATCACGATATCTCACCGTCACGGAGATAAAGGTGGGTAGAAAACCACAAAAAGACCAATGGAGCATAATTTACAATAAACTCGTTTATTAACATGAAAACCTTTATCATCCACTTACCTCGGTGGAATTTATGAAAACAATATAAGAAAAATAATAACATTATCACAATCATGGAATAATATAAGCTGTAAAACATAGCACTTATCACGCCTTTTGTAATTCAATCATTATACAACATATCCTTTTCTCATTTACCAGCCTACTAGTATCCGTGGGGGTCCATAGGGGTTCCGCTACCCATTAACCTTTAACATTCATAATCAGTTTCCAGGGCCGTCCCCATACCCCGTCCGGTATGGGCGCCAAAACCATGAACCTCAATACCCCGTCCGGTATGAGGGTGAAACGGGCCGTCCCCATACCCCGTCCGGTATGGGCGCCAAAACCATAAACCTCAATACCCCGTCCGGTATGAGGGTGAAACGGGCCGTCCCCATACCCCGTCCGGTATGGGCGCCAAAACCATAAGATCTCCATACCCCGTCCGGCATGTGAGACCACAATCCCGGTAGGGTTCCCTACGGACCCGGTCCGTCCACCATCTCCCAGGATATCTAGTCAGGCTGACCCCCATAATACAATTATCAGTTTACACAATCTTTCATTTTTCCTTTTCCTCAATCAGCATCATCAATTCACATTTAAACAAGCAAATCGTAATTCATACCAAACAGACAACATACAGTATCAGTTTTTCAGTCATTCAACCCATAATTAATAAAAACGTAGTGCATGCACACAAATCTGTAAAATGAACACATCAAACCTCATTTTGCATTTAAAGCTGTAAACAGGCCAAATAACAGTAAATCATCAAATCACACTAGACTCGGGCTCCATTAGCAACCTTAAGCAATTTCACACATGCGTTAATTCAAGAAATACTGTTTTATCATTTTGAACTTTAATACCGTGATAGGAAATAGGGTGAGGGGTCCTTACTTGTTTTCGGGATCCGAATACGATTCACAGTGCGCCTGCAGGCTGTCCCTAATTTTCTCCTGAATTTTTCCCGGGGAACTGAAACACGCTAACAGTACCTGCACGGGTTCCAAAAAAATTCCAAATTAGGCCCAGGGCCTCTTTCGGCCCAAATCGCAACTCCGGCACGGCGGCTCCGCCGTGCTCCGGCGACGGCGCCGCTGCTGGCGGCGGCGAGTCGCCTCGGGTTGACTGTTTTCGGCCGCTTTTGGCCGAATTCGGCCACACTCGCATTGGTCCTTGTCAGAAAACAACCCTAGGGCCCTCGGGGGGCCAAAAAATCACGGAAAAACGGAGCTTACCGGCGGCGGCGCTCTCGGGTACGGCGACTCTCCGGCGAAGTTCGTGTTTTGGTGATTTGGCTTCGGTCAACCTGTGAGAAAAGAATGGTGATCACGGTGATATAAAAATTGCATCGAACGGAGGCCGGGAAGGGCCTCGTCGGAGGCAAAAACCGAGAGGGGGCGCGGCGGCGCCGCTGGGCTTCGGCCGCGTATTCCGGCCGTTTGGCCGGGATTTCGGCTTCGATTTGGCCATAGGAGGAATCAGTGGGGAAAAACGAGTCGGGGGTATGAAATTTACCTCGATCGGCGGTCGGAAATTTCCCCGGTGCGGCGGCGAGTGGCGGCGGGTGGCGGCGGTCGGCCTCTGGTTCGTCTTCTCCGGCGAGCGGCTGGCGGTTAGGGTTTTTGGTCTGGTGTGGGGGTTCTATTTATAACCCCTTGCCTTTTGATCACAGCCGTTCGTTTCGTTTTAATCTGGGCCGTTCGTTTTTGATTGAATCTGGGCCGTCCGTGCGTTTGAATCTGGGCCGTCCGATCGCGTGATTGATCTGGGCCGTCGGATCGTACCCACGCGGATCGCCAACGTGGCTCCTTTCGGAGTGACGCGATCTTGCCACGTGGCAGGCCCCGGTTGGCCGGGACTGCTGACGTGGCTGCTGACGTGGCCCCCCCTTTTTTTTTTTTTTTTTTTTTTTTTTCCTCCTTTCCGGGCGCTACATATCTAACTTGTTTTTTTATGGTTATAATTAATGATATGATTATGTTAATAAATAGTTAAATTTTTTTCGATATAAACAAATATTTTAACTATAGAGATATGTAAAGGAAGTTAAAAAAAAGTAAATTTAAAGAGGTAAAGCAAATTTCTCGAGAAATAATTAGCTTTGTTACGAGAAAATGAGTAAACCTCTAGTAATTTTTTAGGTGAAGTTGAAAAGTTTTAGAAACGGACGAATTTAATGATAAGGTTTAATTGCATATTGTTATTCGCCAACTTTATTTATCTTGAGAATAAGAACAAAAATTAAGATGAGTAAAAAATAAAATAAAATTTAAGAAGTTAAATAATAATTATTTAATATCGTGCATATTATATTTATTAATATTATTAATATTATCTCATTTTTTAAGAAAAGGAAAAAAATAAGATTAGCTCACTCCTGGCAATATCAATCTCAATTGTTCCACTTTCATTATATATTTATGTATATCTATGTATTTCTATATATAATAATACCTAAACCAATATGTATATGTATATATGTTAAAAAGGATTTGTTTGCTCCATTTTGATTTAGATCTTATCAGAATAAAAACTAGCAGTTTAAACCAAAATTAAGATGATCTGACCTTCAATTCAGACTCTCACCTTTTAATTAGTCTTCAAATCCATTCAGTTTCATTCTGAAATCAAGTTGGAACTACATTAGATCTCACCCGAATCGCCCCATCTATATATCCTCCTGAAGAGAAGTTTGATTTCAAACTCCGATTCGACAGGAGATGTGCACCATGCAAATGCACCATAGCTCAAAACTCTAAAATCCAATTCGAAGTTAAAAGCCGTAAAGATCCCTTATCTTCAAGATCTTTTTTGTTAACAGGAAAACTAACTCAAAACTCTAAAACCCTGATATTCAAAGTGAAGCAAGAAAGTGTCTTTGATGCCCTTCATGTGACCTTTTTCACTGAGGAAAAAACAGAGAGATGCAAGAAACAACTAGGTTGAAATCAAAGAGTCAAATAAATACATGAATGCCTACTCAAGGGAGACAATGGAAGCATAACAAAAGCAAAATTCAAGCTTGAGGAAGAAGACAAACAATGGAAGAGAAGGAATGCTACTCAAAATCGTATGAGCTCCATCAAGGCTAAGAAGAAAGAGAGGAGCCAGGGAGGCTCTTACGGCACCAAGCAGATTCAAGCAGGCCAATGAGCCTTCCCATGTTGCCATATATACCCATGATAAAGCATAAAATAGTCACTTTTCCAAGGCAACCAAAAAATAATGTAATACTACTAAATCTTATTCATCCATCTATCTATCTGATCAGTCTCATATTAGCTCTGAATCCCAGTTACTATATAGAAACTATGCCAGAAAAGCATTGAGGGAACTTAACACACAGCCCATAAATAAACCAAAAATCAATGGTTTCATTTTTCAGCATTTGCCAACTGTGAACGTCAAGCTCAAAAGTCAATCCACACCATACTCGAGCTGAGCTGATTTGTCCAATTCTGTAAAGAAAGAAACCAGTTCAAACCAAAGGATCACTAGACCTCGATGCATTAAACTATGGTGGCCACTAGACCCCCAAACATTTATGCAGATAAGAAAGGTCCATATCTTGGTTCCAGTTCTAAAGCAGCACCAGTTCTAAAACAGATATTATATACTGCTGCTAAGATCTTACATCCGTTCATGGCACCTTCATACTCCTGCACTATGCAAACCTCTTCAACAAAACTGGTAGCACGTCACTTCCAGACCCAAATCAAGAATAAAGAGATAGTGGAGTATATAAAAAAAAAAACATAACTTATCCCCATAAAATAAGTGATGTACACTACATGATTCTAAAAAATGTTCTTTTCTTTGTTTGGGGAGGTTGGTAAAGTCCTAATATCATATGAAAATCCTGGAAGAAAAGAAATGTATTCAATTTCATAAATAAACGAAAAGTGAATCCCACTAAGCTCTCCTTTGATGACAAATCTCATGCAACCAATATGCACTTTCCTCTAGGTGGTTTTTGATTTTGGGACCTTTTTCTTAAGTTGTCTCCTTGGAATTGAATTCTTCATTCCTATGTAAAACAGCAGCGCCCCAAAGAGAGCCATATTCTGAAACCCAGAAATGCAAAGCAATTTAGTTTCCCTTGCAATCATACCACTGAAATAGCCATAATAATGCACTTACACACAATACGGACTGCAAAACATTAAGAAGCTGGAAATATTATTACCTGTGTAAATTTGACAAAAAGTTGAGTAAATTCTTTCTCGTCATTGTCATAATTGTAGAAATCATATAAAATTGGAGTTGTAATCAACTGATGCAGAAGCTGCATGAAGAAACAGCGAGACTAGTTGTTAAACAGTACAACTAACACAAACTACAATATAGTAGCATTATATTCATAGTAGGCCCAGAACAAGAATATTAATATAGCACCCAGATACTAACCAGTAAATAGGCTCCAAAAGAGCTGCCAAATATGAAGAGAAGGCCCCCGACGCCCTTGAAAGCTATACTTGAAGCAACTAAATGTTTAGTCTGTAAATAGCACAACCAATAAAAAAACACAAGACAGTTTAGTAAAATGGAAAATACTCAGGTAGCAGTAATTTTAATGCATGTCTATGACTAAAACTCTCCGCTTCTCACAGAGAAGTCTATGAACTGTTCCCTATTTCGAATATTTTGTCATCAGGAATCTACTGGATGGACCAAAAGAACAAGCATAGAAAGGTCGGGCGAAAGGTATTCCTGCTTATCCACCATGATTAATTGATTCGGGCATTTCTCATAAAAAAAAATAAGATTCAGTCAGTCACAATCATTGCCTCCAACAAAAAACCCCATGAAACATGGAATACTACATAATTGGCATGCTGAAACTACTTTTGAAACTTTTCCCAAGATAAAGATCAGGAGATAAATGAGGAGAACAGGATGGCCAGGTGAGAAACCAAGCTAACCAATAAGATAACAAGTACATCCTCCCAAAGGAGACTATAGCCATAGTAACTTACTTGTAGAAAATATAACGTATCACCTTAATACTCAATAATAAAATATAAAGTGTGCATAAGTGCATATATGTTTGAAAGGAAGAGAAAGAGAGGGAGATTGTTACTTCAGTTTTGGGAACTTGAACTCCAATAGTAGAGTGTACATGATTTGTAAACACTTTGAACTTTGGTTTGAGAGCCTTCCCAGCTGGGCCTCCATCGATCCCAAATTCATTAAACCTAGAAAAAGTGATGCATTACATTAAAAGACAGATAAAACTAAAGAAGCATGGTACTTTCTCAGGAAAAGTAAAACAAAGTCAAAAAGCAGCACTCTGCAAGGTAGGGTGAGATTATAAAGGATAAAGTTTTGATTCCATAATTTGTTCTTGAAGAAGACACTTCTTCATTCATATTTCAAAAACACACACACACACACACACACACACACATAAAGATATAAAGCTTCTTTGCGATAATGTTTCTTGTATTTTTAAAAAAAAAACACTATTCATACAGACACTTAAAATATGAGCATATGCAAAGCAAGCTTCATCATAACTATTAATATATGCCACAAAAGACGAGGCTCTTACAAGGACTTCCTATCAATCAAGTCAAACACACAAAACCTTCGAACCAAAAGGAAATATCAATGATCATATAAGTTTTAGTTAGGTGAGAACAGTCTGTGTATAGCATACCGTAACATGAGATTGAGTTTTGTTGTTTACAGAGTCGTGTTACAGTGTAGTAATCACTCTTTATTGGCATTTCAGAATGTATAGACAGAATGATTTGGAATGTAATTGACAAGATATCTTTCAGTGAATTTAATATAGGAGAGACAAGGTATGCATGTAACTAATGCACAAAACCAAATCCTAATTACCCCAAGGGGTCGGTTCGGTTGGTTTCGGTCAAAAATCTTTTTTTTTTTAAACTGAGAAATCAACCGATCTTCGTTAACTGAACCAAATCGACTGAACTGGGACTTATAACGGTTCATAACCGATGAAGCAGGAGCAGCTTCCTCGGCTCTGATGCCTATCTGTTGCCGAATGACGAAGAAACAGAGTTTAAGTGAATCAATCGTCTATTCATGTTCCAAATACAAGTTTCACCATGCAAACTACAAGTTTCAACTAATTGCCTTAAGCAAGTGAATCATGTTGTGGTTGACTTAGTACTAAGTAGCTAGAGATTGCTGCTAAGTGCTCATTATTGGCATTAGTGACTCAGCTGTGCTGCAGTGGGATAATGGTGTAGAGGTCATTGGGGACCTAGGCTTTGATGAGTAGGAGGTGACTGGTGAGAGAGATCAGATCAGATGATTGAGGCAAAAGCGAACTTCAAATGGAGTGTGAGGGAGGCAGTGGCCAAGAGGTGGGTAATCGCATTTTCAGAATGCTAAGTGGAGGTGTGAGTTGTGAGTCTCGTGACTAGTGAGACTGCGTCCGCAAGGGAGATGAGATGAGATGAGATAAGAGGGATAGTCACAGAGAGCAATCACGTGGTGAGAGAGAGTGGTTCTGGTACTTCTGGATTCGACTGAACTGGGAGGGGGGTATTTTGGTATTTACGTTATTATTATATGATATTACATATGATCGTAATTTATATATATATTATAAAATAAAAAAGATAATATATTCAGTTATTCGGTCAGTTTGGTTCACCGGACTGACAAACTGCAACCTAACTGAATTTCAATTAAACCAAACCGGTTTAACCGATCTAGAGCAGCGAACCAATTTAACTGAACCGGTCTCCCCTAACTGGTTTGGTTTGAACTAGCTAAACCAGTTTGGTCGGTTCCTATATACTCCTAATTGCCCCTAGAAAGTTTTGACTTGAACCAAGATTTTCGATGGAGCTTTTTGGCATCTATACAGACAGAAGCAACAATATATTAACAAACAATCAATGAAACACATATTCAATAAATTCATTGAACATCAGACCAAGTATAGAGATGAAATTCAAAGGACATCCAACAAGATCATTCAAAATTTCTATAAGTTGCCATAGTAAATGCACATGGTGAGAAAAACATTTGTTGGAGAGAGCAGGTATATGGTTACAGCTAAGAAACTCAGCATCTACAGACAGCATGTAATTTTTCCAAATGGGTGAATTTTAGATGACATATGATCCAAGTTTCCAAATTTTTAACTTTCCACAGTAAATGGAAGTAAAGAGAAATAACGTATATCGGTTAGAGTGAAGTTGCTTAATGATGGTATTTAAAATTTAAATTTCAAACCGTTGTTTGGTTTCAAAAAACCCTAAGATGCAATATTATCACCAAATTAGCTGAGTTTATTTAATACCAACAGAGAAGGAAACTACCTTTCGGACAAATTATACAGTCTAACTCCTAACCTTCTCCACATCTAAACGAGAAAACTACTATTACGACTTCCCCGTGTTTTAAGATAGGAAACTAACGAAACAGAATCCTCATTGGCTTTAATCACCATAATGCATTCAACCACAGGCATTGCATATTATAGTACATTTTCGGGCAAAATTTAATAGTTATCAAACCAAATTCACATCAAGACATCTTACCATACACATGATGTAGAAAGGAAACCACGGACTTCATTGTTATTAATCTCTCCAACATATATTTTTTGGAAAAATATCTAACTTACTAGATGTACAGGCCAACTTAAACCGAACAACCCCCGAAGCAGTAAACAAAATTGAAGTCTAAATATGATATAATATCAGATTTGAATCCAAACCCTTCAATACATCACCATAAAGATCCAGCTAATACTAAATTCAAATTGAAGATAAACTCCACTGGTTTAACTGCTTAAAAAATGCGTATCCAGGCACAAAACAACTAAACTTAGAACTAAATAACCAAGCAAAAAGGTAAGAAATGCAGATCTGAGTAATAATTGACTTCTAAAAGCAAATAGTAAGAGAAATGGGAATTACAAAATAAAATCAGATCCAAACATAAGAACAAGCAAAGAAGCAAAACCCAAAAAAAATTAGCAAACAAAGAACACAAATAGGGCTTCAAAGGCCAAGAAAGAGCAAGAAAAGCCTAAAAGAAGTTGAAAGAAAAAGGAAGTTTATAACAGTCAAGAAACAAACCACGAAAAAATTTCAGTACACTGCATACAAGCAAAAGAAATAGAAAAGAAAATGTTTAGAAAAATAGATATGAATAAACTCACTCTTGGTAAGCAGAGAGAATGAAAACAGAAGCAAAGAGGACTCTCCCAAGAAAGGAAGCGAAAGCCATCGTTTTCTCTTTCAAGTTTCCTCCCTTCAGACAGAGAAAGAGAAAGAGAGAGAGAGAGTGAAATATAAAGAGAGAGAAGACAAGGGGTTCTTGGGTTTTAATATTCAAAAGTTTTAATCTTTACAGAAAATAAAAAACACAATTTTTCTTTGAAAAATAAAAAGAGAAATATCATTTTTTTAATTACTGGAGACTGTTCTTTTTGAACGGACCAGCCGCCTAAGTAATAATTAAATTGGCGCTCTAGTCCTAAAATACCACTTGATTTGTCCATAATTACAATAATACCCCTCCCTTTTTTAAACACCGTGCGCAGTCAGAACTTTACCTGCATTAAAACGGTGAGTTTTAAGGGTCAGCGTTGGAGCTCTAGTTCTAAAATGCCACTTGATTTGTTGATATTTACATTAATACCCTTCCTATTTTCAAAAGCCGAGCGCAGTCAGAAGACTTTACTCCGCCTTAAAACGGTGCGTTTAAGGGTCAGTATTGGCTCTAGCTCTAAAATGCCATTTGATTTGTTCATATTTACATTAATACCCTTCCTTTTGTCCAAAGCCGGGCGCAGTCGGAGACTTTATTCTACGTTAAAACGGTGCGTTTAAGGGTCAGCAGACCAATCTTTCAATGAGAAGCATCGTCTGTGTCAATAGATGAAACCCATAACCAGAGTTAACCGCTCATCGATCAGAAACCACCTTTACCATACTATTTCACTCGATCAGAACCAGACCATTGTTGTTGATCGAATAAAGAAATGTGTCAGCTTCAGAATACTAGAAACTATCTACGCCGCAATGACCAAAACCAGTGCCGACCAAGACTGTTTCTTGGTAAACCAGTTTATAAGTGCATGCACCGCGTTCTCTCGAGTAGATTGCTCTGTTTTGGCCTTCACCCAGGTGTTTCAACCCAATGTCTTCGTCTATAATGCATTGATAAGAGGCTTCATTCATTGTCATTATCCAAATCAATCGCTGGAGTATTACAAGCATATGTTGAAAGCTTCGATTTGTCCCACCAGTTTCACATTTTCGTCCTTAGTTAAGGCTTCTGCTTCTGCGATATCTGCATGTGGGTTTGGAGAATCTGTTCATGCCCACGTCTGGAAACATGGGTTTGATTCGCATGTTCATGTTCAAACTGCTTTGCTTGATTTCTACTCGTGTACGGGTAAAATGGTTGAATCACGAAAGGTGTTCGATGAAATGCCTGTGAGAGATCCTTTTGCGTGGACTGCCATGATTTCGGCTCATCTCCGAGATGGGAACTTGAGTTCTGCGATAAATTTGTTTGATGAAATGCCGGAGAAGCTCATCGCTACGTGGAATACAATGATTGATGGATATGCAAGATTGGGCAACTTAGAGTCTGCGGAGGAGTTGTTTAATCAAACGCCGGTTAAGGATGCAATATCGTGGACGACGATGATCGCTTGCTACTCTCAGAAGAAGAAATTTAGAGAAGCATTATCCGTATTTAATGAGATGATGGTAAATGGGATTAGCCCTGATGAAGTTACAATGTCAACTGTTATCTCGGCTTGTGCCCATCTGGGAGCACTTGATTTAGGTAAGAAAATACATCTTTACGTGATGCAGAATGGATTTGAACTTGATGTTTATATAGGCTCTGCATTGGTTGACATGTATGCAAAGTGTGGGAGCCTAGATAAGTCTCTTCTGGTCTTCTTTAAATTGAGTAGAAGGAACCTCTTCTGTTGGAACTCCATAATTGAAGGGCTGGCAGCTCATGGCTATGCCAGAAAAGCTCTAGCCATGTTTAGCAGGATGCAGAAGGAGATTGAACCTAATGGGGTGACTTTTGTTAGTATTCTGACTGCCTGTACTCACGCAGGACTAGTTGAAGAAGGACGTAAGAGATTTCAGAGCATGATTGATGATTATTCCATCATTCCTGGAGTTGAACATTATGGATGTATGGTTGATCTATTGAGCAAAGCTGGATTGCTGGAAGAGGGATTGGAATTGATAAGGCAAATGGAATTTGAACCAAATTCAGTTATCTGGGGTGCTTTGCTGGGTGGCTGTAAGCTTCATAAGAACTTGGAGATTGCTAAGGTTGCCATTGATGAATTGATGGTTTTGGAACCGAATAACAGTGGATATTACACCCTTTTAGTTAACATGTATGCAGAAGTGAACCGGTGGGGTGAGGTTGCAAAGACCAGGGCAAGAATGAAACAATCTGGTGTTGAGAAAAGATGTCCTGGTTCCAGTTTGATAGAAATGGAAAGCAAGATTCATCAGTTTGCAGCCTCTGATAAATCTCATCCAGCTTCAGATGAGGTTTACTTGATGCTAGCTGAGTTAGATGGGCAGATGAAACTACCTGAGTCTGTTTATTAGCACTTGTTCATTACTTCCTTACAAACCTTAACAAGAGATGGACACAGGAGTGTGTTATTCACTAATTCGCCCCAACTTGCTTCATATGGAGTTGGGTAAAAAATTTTTCATTGCTTCAAATGTGAGGCATGTATAAATTTATATTTTGTTAACGGGATTGTTATGAAAGTTGATATACTTGTCTCATAATCATCCCGGAACCATCTTTAGCTAATCATAATCATGTTGGAAAAGAAAGCACCAGTTCTAAGGTTGCCATTGATGATTTGATGGTTCTGGAACCAAATAACAGTGGACATTACACCCTTTTAGTTAACATGTATGCCGAAGTGAACCCGTTGGATGAGGTTGCGAAGATCAGGGCGAGAATGAAACAATCAGGTGTTGAGAAAACATGTCCTGCTTCCAGTTTGATCGAAATGGAAAGTAAGATTCATTAGTTTGCAGCCACTGATAAATCTCATCCAGCTTTAGATGGGATTTACTTGATGCTTGCTGAGTTAGATGGGCAGATGAAACTACCTGAGTCTGTATATTAGCACTTCCGTTCATTACTTTCATTCAAATCATAACTAACGATGGACACAGGAGCGTGTTACTCACTAATCCGCCCCAATCTGCCTTGGATGGAGGGGTTAAACATTTTCCATCGCTTCAAATATGAGGCATGTATAAATTTATATTTTTGTCAATAGGATTGCTATAAAAGTTGACATACTCATCTTATAATTATCCCGTGCCCATCTCTAGCTAATCATAACTGTGTTGGGAAAGAAAGTTCCAGTTTTAAGGTTGCCATTGATGAGTTGATCGTTTTGGGATCAAATAACAGTGGATATTACACCCTTTTAGTTAACATGTACGCGGAAGTGAACCAATGTGATGAGGTTGCAAAGATCAGGGTGAGAATGAAAAAATCAGGTGTCGAGAAAAGATGTTCTGGTTCTAGTCTGATCGAAATGGAAATCAAGATTCATCAGTCTGCAGCCTCTGATAAATCTCATTCAGCTTCATATGAAATTTATTCTGATGCTAACTGAGTTAGATGGGCAGATGAAACTACCTGAGTCTAGCACTTCGGCTCATTACTTCCATTCGAACCGTATCTAGGGATGGACACAGGAGCGTGTTACTCACTAATCCGCCCCAACCCGCCTTGGACGAAGTGGGTAAACATTTTCGATTGCTTCAAATATGAGACTTGTATGAGTTTATATTTTTGCTAACGGGATTGATATGAAAGTTGACATACTCGTCTCATAATCATTGCGTGTCCATCTCTAGCTAATTGTAACTGCCTAATGTTTTAATACTTGGAAGATAAATAATTTTTTTTATAACAACATTTATATTATACAAAAATACCATATAGTACCAACCATTCATTATTATTTTTTTATAGGGTGGAAGTTTAAATTTTAAATTGTGCATTTAATTTATTTTTATTAAAAATTTATACATTCTTGTTTTGTTTGTTAATAGATATTATTATTACAATAAGTAAGAATTAAATTTAAATATCTAATTTAAACAAGAATATAAATAACCATTGAATGCTTCTTTTACCTCATATTATTTTTCTAAGAGGAGGTCTAACCCAGCGATCCAAACGACCGAGTTTCAAGCCAGATTTATTGAACTTTTTCGTGAATTGACATAACTGCCCTTACGCTAGTAGCATAATTTCAAAACCAGCCCTCACATCCCGCATGAAAACAACCGACCTCCCTTTCACTTCATTTCTACATTCGCCGCCTCGTGCGGTTGATATTCGCGCGGATGATCCGCCAAACGCCTCTTATCGGCTCAGCACATCACTCTACGCGTAAACTTTTGTCTGGATATTAGTAACATTTCTCTCTCAGCGATGGCTAATCAATCTGGAAAGCGTCTTCTTCAGAACATGTGTAAGCTCGACTGTATTTCTTCTTGACTTCTCTCTTTTGTTTAAACTATTGATTACTCGACTGTTATTCATTTTTTGAATTTCTTTTTGGTAAATGCTCGTTTTTGATATGTAATAGGTGTAAGGAGATGCTAATTATGGATGCCAGTCTTTGATAAGTTTACATTCATTGGATGATTCGATAAATTTAAACATTTTATATGCGGAACGGTAGAATAGGAAGTTGTCGCTATAGATAGACTAAACATAGAAAGTGAACGGGAAAAGAACAGCTGAATCTAAGAGTCCGTTTAGAGGTTTAAGTTCATAGGCCTTAACCTACGATGAGTTTTAAGGTCATAAAAAGCTCTTCCAGCTTTAAACTATATAAATTGTTTGGATGTATGATTTTGAGTATAATAAGCAGCAAGTGTGTGTTGAAATTTTTAAAAAGTTGATCTCAGTAGCTTTTTTTTTCTTGAATTCAAGTCTTACGGCGTTTAGATATCTGTAGGTGCAGCTAAACAAGTTTGACCGAGAAGTAAGCCTGTCCAATAAGAACTTGCATTTACTAAGTCCCAAGACACGAAGAGCTAAATGAATTTTTAGAGCTGAATTTGTTTGTTAATCTCAGACAGCAGCTGGAATGTTTTCATATATTTCATCACAACAGTAGGATTCAGTGTTTTAACAGACTTACCACAGCTTATGAGAAGCTTAATGCTAGATTAATGATGGACCTCCTTTGAAATGATTGGCACTTAGCTGGAATTCTATATTCTTAGCCACTAAAGTTTTTCATCTCTTTCAAATACTTAAATAGCTATTTTATTGTTGAACAAATTCCTTCTTTATCTTTTCTAGAGTCATTTTTGGGATTGATATCGACATACGTTGGTTTAACTCTGTTACCAACCAAACAGTAATTTGAGCTTATATGCCTAAGTTTAGGTTGCTATTAATTGCAGAAATCAAATATCCAGCAGTGGCAAGTTAGTTATGATTAACACTTATTTTAAGATAAAAAAAAGGAAATATCATTAAAAAGCACCAAGGGGATTAGGGATAAGAAAATCATTGGACGGCCTTTAACAAAATATTCAAGGTGTGGAACCAATAATATCTAATCTTTTCGAAAAGGAGAGTAAGGGACCTCAAAAAATCTCTTGTTCCTTTCTTTCCAACTAACCAAAAAAATATTTATAGGAACAATGGTGTTGGAATTTTTTCTTGATTTACAAGCACAAACACCTTAACAAGCCCAAAATTTGCTGTCAACAGAACCTGAAACAACCAAAGAAAAACTAAGGAGAATTAGAGTCTTCTAGCCTCTGAATTTTTGTATGACACTTAAAAGTTCTTTAAATGTAGCCTTGTTTGGAGAGAATAACAGTTCTTCTAAATAGTCAAATGGGCTCATATGGCTAAAGTGAGGTCTCACTTACTTGAATGAATAAGAAGTATTCCTGCATTTTCCTTTTGTTGCTTTGCAGGTTATGCTAAAACTTTGCAAAAGGAGCAAGAAAAGTATCGAGGATTTATGCATAGTATTACCAACTGGTATCAGTCACAACGGTCTAAATCTGATAAGATAGAAGCAGATATGCAGAAGGAATCTAGGGATGTACCGCAACTCTCTCTAAGATCCAAACTCGTAAAGAAGGCGGATTGTGATTCTGAACTTGGCAAGTATTATTCTGGTGATGAAGATCTAGGTGATAGTAAGTGGAAATTAGAGCTCGCCTGGCTTACAAAAGCTCTGGAACCAGCTCTGCGATTATGTAGGTGGGCTCTGCCAACAGGTCTGTTTCCTTTTGGTCATGTCAGGTTACATAGTATACTAGGTTGATTTTATTTTAAATAACTTGAATATTAATGACAAGTTTGATGTTTATGATTGGTGAAATTTACTATATGTATTTGTGATACCTTACTCTTCTGTTTTGAGACTTGGTATACTGCCATTTGACAAGGTCTACCAGTGGAGGAAGAAGAACAAGTAGGGATTAAGTATCTAATACTGTTATTTATGTATTTTGTTATATTTTATCTGTGATTGCTGCTAAATGTCAATTCTGAGTAGTGTATCATGTTGTGTTTATTATTTTGACTGCTAAATATCAGTAATTGGCAGTTTATCGTATTCAAATTAATCAAATTCTGTTGTTAGCTCGGATGGGCAATTCCTAGTCCTACGGTAAAAAACTAGGGAAAAGAATTATCCTCTGTTCTCGTGTAGGAACAAAAACCATATTTGAGACCATTGGGTTTGTACTCTTCCTCTGCAGTTGTAAATGTTGGTTTAACTTTCTTTGCACCATTTAGACTGGAGTCCATTTGTGGTGCTTTAATTTTTTTCATTCTTCTTATTAAACTTTTGCATGGAAATCTGGATAAGGAGGCTGATTCACCATTTAAAATTGCAGGAAATGGAGATGGAAAATCCCCTCCTAGCAGTCGATCTTTGGTAGAGACAATTTCAAGCATCCAACGGAGTAAGATTGGACTTGAGGATTGGAGCTTGACTGACCTTACCATTGGTTTATATCTAATATACCTTCGTCAAGCATCTTTAAATCCCTTTGAGGATGTCAAGGGTGTTCAGGTTTTGTCAGAATCAACAGTGAGTAATACATCCTTATTGTAGAAATATCTCTATACTTAGTAATATTAATTTATTTACTTTTCTTGGCTGTAGTGCTTATTGTGCATGATTTCTGATATAGGTCCAAGATCTCATCTACCATACTGAATTAGCAAAAGGTTCTTACCAGGATAATGCCACTGTTCTTGCAAGGAACAGCATGCTTAGAGAAAGCAATGTTCTGAAATTTGTCAAAAGTTCAAGTATAATGAGGCCTGGGTATTATATTGGGATTGATCCTCGTAAGGAACTTGTGATTCTTGGAATCCGTGGAACTCATACCGTTTATGATCTTATTACTGATATTGTTTCTTCAAGTGATGGAGATGTCACATTTGAGGGCTATTCAACACACTTTGGCACATCTGAAGCTGCACGTTGGTTTCTCAATCATGAGATAGGAACCATAAGGAAATGCTTAGAGAAATACAAGGTGGTAACACGTTTCCTCTTTGTTTGTTTTCTTCTTCCTTTTTTGTCTTTAATAGTTTAGTGATTAAATTTTGTGTTTTCCCAACTTTTTTTTTTTTTTTATCAATCAAGAAGTCAGGCTTGTTTCCTCCAATGGTTCAATCAGAACTTTGTTCAAATGTTATTTGCAAACCTAATTCATCTACAGGGATTTAGGTTAAGGCTGGTTGGTCATTCTCTTGGGGGTGCTACAGCTTCTTTGCTGGCAATTATGCTCCGTAAAAAGTCACATGATGAGCTAGGGTTTAGCCCTGATGCTGTTTCTGCTATTGGATATGCCACTCCACCTTGTGTTTCCAAAGAGCTTGCTGAAGGTTGCTCTGACTATGTCACAACCGTTGTTATGCAGGTTTGAAGATGCACCTAATTATCAGTTGATCATGTCCACTGAAAACTTCTTTTTGTATTTTGTTCTTTTTCTTTTATATAAAATAAGGAAAAGTACCTCTAATCTGGTTGCTTCTCCCTGAAAACTGGCGTCACTGTACGCAGGATGATATTATTCCCAAGTTAAGTGCAGCTTCTCTGGCCCGGCTCAGGAATGAAGTTCTTCAAACTGATTGGTGAGCATATATTTTGTTTTGTAAGAGGGGATTTCACCTTTAATAATTGATCTAAGCATGCTGTAAGCAAATGGACAAAAGCATGGAAACCAGCTGACCTGAGGACAAACATGTAACACATAAGTTCTCAGATCTAGGATAATTCTTTCTCTTATCGTGTGAATTCATTTGAATAATTATCTCTGAAATTCAAGGGTTAGCAGGTCAAGTTATTAAATTTCTGGAAATTTGTTTCCGAAACTCTCCCCTGCATCTAAATAATCAAATAAGGGAAGATTTATATCTGTATCTATATGTGTGTGAGGTAGGAAATGTTTTCTTTTACATCCTACGATCGATTTCTCTCTAACAAGGTCTATACTTCTGTTTTACTTCATTTTGTTTGGGAAAACCCTTCAATACTTTGTTTCAGACCTCCCTAATATAGCATCACCACTAAGAGGTGCAAGTTGGTTATTGTGGTTTCTTACTTGCACTTGCATTTTGGATATCTATGTATATTTCATTGACAAATCGGACATAGAACTCCCATCATATAGATTAAATGCGTGCACATGTTTCTTTTTTGAATTTTTTATAGTGATGATAAAGCAATTTTGCCACACCAAATGCGTTCATCTTTATCTTCAAAAAATGTCCTGGATCTTCCTCTTAAGTGAACCACTAGCTACAGATTAATTGTGCAATCTTAAAATTTATTGTTTAAAAATTACTATCAAGTCTTAAAATGAATCAAGTAGCCTAATTTTTCGACTGCTTAAGCAGACATCATCTTTTCCGAAGAATTTCTTGTTCACGTGTTTGATGTTTTAGAATGATGTTTATAAATTATGCACCAGAATTCACATTTGATCCTAGAGCTTTATTTCGTCAATATGGTGAACAGCAGAGTTAGTTTCAGTTTAACCTTAAACTGCAGGGTTTAATGTGTATTTCTCCTTGAAGATTTCACATAAACGGCATCCATTTTGTTGAAAGTTGGTTTGGACTTTGGGTTATGCACGAGTTCTTTGCGTTTTATTTTTGTTCTGATAGTATAATATCTAAAAACAAAATGGTAGGCTTGTTCCATGGTGCTTGAGCCTTTGCAGAGTGTGTCTGCTTATAAAATAAGTTCAAGGTTGATATTTGTTCATTAATTGACCACTAAATACCCCTGTTATCTGTTGTTACATTTTGTTTTTGATTCGATTTTCTTTTATTTTTTCTATGTTCTGAACACTATTAGCTGTACTGCATCATTGAAACTGTCTCATGAAGGGGCATGAACGGCCAGTATTAACTTGTTGGCATGTTGGTAGTGTATCTTAGGCATGCTGGGTTATGGTGACTGTGAAACTTCATCTTGTGTTACAGGATGAGTGTGGTTGAGAAGGAAGACTGGAAAAATGTTATAGGTCTGGTGACAAATGCGAGGCAAATGGTATCTTCAGTGCAAGATGTAGCTAGGAAACTTGCTGAATATGCAAAGTTCAGGAACAGGAAAGATTCTTCTGGTAAGGTTTCCTGTTCAAAATGTCACTAAAAACTGTAAGCTCAATCAGACCTCCTTTGATTTAGTTCCTTCATATGTTATTCTGTTTTGTGACTATGGCAACCTGTGATCTGTCATCCTTCAGGAGTTACAAATACTCTTGGAATCTAGATTCTTAAATGATTTAGACTGGTTGATTTGGGATCAATGCTTGGTTGAATAATAGTTCTTGAGATGATCTTATTCTTGAAGTCTATCTCTGATATTTTTATAGTGATATTTGGTGAAATTTTTGTGCCTTATTCATTTGGGTTCATTAATGTCCTTTTGCACCTTCTCTATATGCCACTCGAAGGTAAATGCTCACTCGTAATATGAAATAATGTGGTTAGGTAGTCAAAGCCAGTTACTGGCTTTAGATCAAGTAATTTGGACTGTGATCGATGAATGATTTTATTCTACTTTGTAGCATAGGAAAAGCAAAATCAGATTCCATACAAGCATGCTTATTTACTTTTACTGATAATCAGCTAAATTTCGGTTTTTCCACCATTACTGTTTTGTTGTACATGAGCAGACGGTTCCATACAAAAAGAATCACCTGTTGTTCCTCTAGCCCCTTTTAGCTCCAATTCAGCGGTAGAGAATACTAATGGACTCCAACAGAAAGGAGGTGCCTGTACAGTTGCGGGGGAGTTATTTGTACCTGGGAATGTTTACTATCTAAAGAGAAGTATAGACACAGATAGCAACAATGAAAGAGGTGGGGAGTTTTTCACGCTGTGGAAAAGATATCCAGGTGAACATTTCCAAAGGATAGTGCTTTCAAGCAATTTAATTTCAGATCATAAATGTGATAACCACTACTATGCTCTACGAGACGTACTTAAGGGTTTGCCTAGGTCAAGTCATGAAACAATCGTTTAGTTGATTTCACGTGAAATTTTATTAATGCATTCATTATAGTGTTTAGGATTGAGAGGTTTAGCAGAAGAATTTTGATGGGTAGTTTTCCACTGCTTGACAGCTTGATGATTAGTTATCTGATTTTTTTGGGATTTTAATTGTGAGATTGCCCTGGTGAAATGAGATGGATTAAGTTCCAAGATGGAGTCTCGGTTCTTGATTTCCCAGTGGCAGCTTAAGAAGTCTTACAGCTGTAACTTCTGTTGCTTCCTCTTTAATTTTTTGAGGGAAATAAAGTAGACTTGAATCATTTTGATGTGTTCAATAAACAACTATAGGGGTAAAAGAATTATAAATGATCATGACTTGTCTCATTCCTTCTTTGGAAGATAGAGATATAGTTCTGTGTAGGGGATTGTTTGTTTGCAACTTCTGTTCTAAACTGAAATAATGCTTCCAAAAGGAAACTACTTTTAGATGTATATATATGGAATTGCATTTATTGTTGATTGCATTCATAGAAAATTATACGTTCAAACCATGTTTGTAACAAGAATTGTATGGAATTTCTTGAGTTCACTTTCATTTTTTTCAGATTAAATTTCAGCATCTCTAGGTAAGCTGAATATAAATTTTTACCATCTCATATTCCTTCCTTGTAATGAACATCATATAAGTTTGTATTTCATCCCCTAGCCTCTCCAAAAGTCAAGCTGAGTGGAGATTTTTTTGTAAAAATTATTTTTAATTTGTAAATGTTAAAAAAAAGAAGAAGAAATTTGAAACACAAACTTTACAAGGTAACTGTAGATAATAATGATCAAAAGCTTCCCCACCATTACCTACCTTAAGAAAAGTTGTGGCTGAAGAGGAATTGGCTGTATTCATTCTCAGACCCTTCTAGCCCACCCTAGGGATTTTATAGCATCCAAGGTAAAGTTCTAATCCATCCTCCACAAACATTATATAAGATATAACCTGACCTTTTTTTTTAACGTTTTAGTCCTTTTCTTCATATACCCACATTTTCCTTTGTTTAATTTCCAAACAGTTGTACCCAACCATATCTATTTTTTTATCTTTATATATACATATATATATATATGTATATATATATTAAGCACCATCATTGTTATGATTGGCTTCTTCAACTTTTTGAGATTGTTCTATTTGTATCCACTATTATGATTTGGGATATATTCACAACCAAATTCTTGTTTCTATATCTTGTATTCCTATGCATGAATTCAAATGGCTTCACCAGTCGTGGTTGTTGATCTAATGATAATAAATCGGTTTGATCCCGCATTATCTTCTGCTTTTAGTTGTCTTGAATTCTATAATGATCTCATTATATGTGAGTTCAAGCAGGGCTGATCATTTAAATTTAAATTAAGGTGCTATTAATTAGTGATCTATAAAATTTTTTATATAATAACCAAAAATATAGTATTTGAACTTCAATTTAGAGATATAGTTTATTTTTTAATTGGTATATTATGAACTTATAATAATTTATTTGAAATGTTTGATTTAGTGAGATCTATGATTTAGTTTAATACTGTGTTGGTAAAGTTGTTATCATCAAATTAGATCAAGTTTCAATAAATTTACTTTATATTTAGGTAAAAAAAATATTATATTACGAAAGGTAGTAATCACAATAATAAAAATTTAATATAATTTTTTTTGTACTTAAAAAAAAAATTGTATACAATGAGAATTTTTGTTTATATATAAAAATCTCGTATTAAATTACATAATATATTTAAATTGTACTAAATTTTTTAATGATTTTTAATAAAATACTTTAGAAGTATTTTCCTTTTCTTTTCCTGTTTTCTTTGAGTGATACAAAAATAATAATTTTATTATTAACACCTTTAGTTCAAAATAGAATTATAATTATACTAAAAAGTTATACAGCACTCTTTATATATATATATATATGTATATATGTATATGTTTTTTTTTTTAAGAGAACACAAATAAATATAACACATCACTTTGAGATCAAAAGCCAAGAAAAAGCCTTTCTAATCTGCCTAACAGTGGACGAAACATTTTGCAGGCAACATTCCAAACAAAGTGTAATCTACAAGAGATCTTCCGCAAACAGAGTTGTAAAGTATCATTTCTTTGTTATAAATATCATTTTAAGATCACTTTCAACACAGTCATAAAGTCCCACCTGAAATCATAACCAAATTAAATGTCTGAGAATTAATTTTAGAGAACATGTAAAGGACTCATATCCAATGGAAGTACAGTAATCATCATACACATTTTATAATGTTTATATGCATACAATGAACTTTGACATGAAAAATATGCTAACTGGTTTTATACTTTTGGATGCATTGCCAGCCCATTAGGAAAGTTTGTACATACATGCTTTTAGATGGTTTTTTTTTTTTTTTAATTATAATTGTTTCTTCAAAGTTTAGGAAGAAAGCAAAATATACATACACACACATATATATATATATATGTATATACACACACACACACACACACACACACACAAAAGATGTTTGAAAGTTTTGATCAAGTGGTAGACAATTAACAAAATGGGTGTGTCTGTTTGTGTATACAGATAGGGTTAATGGTGGGGTTATCTTTCTTCAAACGGTCAAGAGAGACCAAAAGGAATTTTGAGTTCTCAAGAAAAAGTTTGGTCTCAATTATTAGAATGATCTTAATTTAATAATGACCTTACATATATATATATATATATATATATATATATATATATATATATTAAGACAAAATTTAACTTGTAGGACCATAGACTTGCTTGATCATATATATATATATTATATATACAGTTAAATTTCTAAAATAATTAGTCAAATATTAGACCTGGGAAGATGAAGTTCATTCATCAATACTTGTGTGGGTGTGACTCTCTGTAGTTAATTTCTACCAGCTTGTCTCCACTTGTAACTGATGTCTGTGTTTGTACATATATATATATATATGCATGTGGGTATGTGTGTGTGTATATATATACATACATACATAACACTAACCCAATCTACAAGTTTGATGGGAAACTCTGTCTCTATCTATTCCTTCATTAATATATATTATTTTCATACACAAAAACAAATTTTCCTTCTCTGCATATCTTAAACTGATGACCTGAAATGACAATCACATGAGTACGTACTACTGTTACATATTTATATATGTATAGATATTACATATATGATGAGTCCCTTATATTAAGGTTTAGACTTTGAAAAATTGCTTCCCATTCAAACTACATTTTTAAAATCTTAATATCATTATATTCATATATATATATATATATATATAAAGAAAATGAAGCTTATAATTTCTGCTTATGTTTGTATGTGTTTCTCAATCATTAAGCAACATCGTTTTCGTCCCCATTCGTATTGTTTCACTTGGAAATTGATGTTTGAACATCTAGACCTAGTCTTACACGTTAATTACCTATACCCACATCACCTTTTATCAATTTTCATAAACCCTAACCTTAAATAATCCTTTTCTTTATAATAAATTATTTATGGGTATATTATATGCATTCTATATCTACATATACTTTATCAATGTTTATAAATTTCTTTTTTTTTTCTTTTTACACAGAAACTCATTCATTTTATTAATTTAAATTATACACATCCATTATAAATTTGTCAAACACTAAATATACAGTAAAAATATAATAAATTCAAAATATACATTATTTATCTTTTAACTACACTATAATAATATTTTAATATATGATATTTGTAAGATAAAATCAGAACAAAATAAATATCCGTTCGATTACAAAATATAATTTTCATCACATGTGCTCTTACAATTCCTTCTTAATCTGATT